TATTATCAAACATAAAGTCAAAAAAAAATAAAATAAAATAGTTGATGCATTAAGTAGGGTTCACATGCTTTTGTATATTCTTAAGATAAAGATTGATTGGATTTGACAAAATGAAGGCAACTTATGAAGAGTGCCCTGACTTTGTTGAGACCTTTGCACTATTATCTCATGAATTTATTGGTGACCCAAATTATAGATTACATGATAAATATATGTTTTATAGAAGTAGGTTATGTATTCCCAAGGTTTCAGCTAGGGACTTTCTAATTTGGGAGTTGAACGCTAGAGATGTAATTGCATACCATGGTAAGGATCACATTATTGTACTTTATAGAAGATCGATTTTTTTGGCCTAACTTAGGAAAGGATATAGCTAAGATTGTTAGGCATTGTTATAACTATCAAGTAACCAAGACTAGAAAGCATAGCACGAGTCTATACACTCTATTACTAGTCCCGTACTCATCTTGGAAAGATATAAGTATGGACTTTATTTTGGGCCTTCCTCGCACTAATGCTAGGCACAATTCCATCTTTATTATTATTAATCGATATTCAAGGATGACACATTTTATCCTTTGCTCTATGACATTTGATACCTCTCATGTAGCCAAGCTATTTCTTAAAGAGGTTGTTAGGTTGTACGATCTTTCTAATTGCATTGTGTCCAATAGAGATGCACATTTTATTAGCTATGTTTAAAAAATCATATGAAAATTGTTAGGGACTAAACTAAAGGTCTCCTTAGCGTATTATCTCCAGACTAATGGTCAGACCGAAATAGTCAATAAGTCATTGGGTGACTTACTTCAATGTTTTATATGCGATTATATAGCTAATTGGGATAGGGTACTACCTATAGTTGAGTTCACATTTAATAGTGTCATCAATCGCTCAATTGGTCTTAAGTCCATTCTAGCTTATCCTTGACTACCAACCTAGAAAACCTATTGAACTTGCCCCTCTTCCTGCCCACTTTCATCCCTCAAACATTGTTGAATCTTTTGATAAATATATTTATGAGTTGAATGATGAGATTAGATGAAAGATTACTTTGAATAATTAATTATATAAGTCAGCAACAGATGTGTATGATATGTATCAATCTTTTTGTGAGGGAAAGCAAGTGATAATAATGATCTGACTTGAGAGATATCCCACTAAGGCCATAAAAATGCTATATGTCAAAAGCATAGGTCTTTATAAGATAACTATAAAGGGTTGGTGATAATGCTTATATCCTTGAACTACTAAAATATATAAGCATAAGCAATTTCTTCAACGTGGAAGACTTATCACCTTAACATGAGCTACTATAGCTTATATTTAGATATTCCTTAGCATACAACAGTGATAACGAAAGCATTCATTTTGTTCTAATGTTAGTATCTCTAGTTCTAGAGTTCCATCTATACTTCACCATTCAAGAGCAAGTCAAAAACATCTCGAACGATCTAACCTTAAGATCTTTTCCACTAACCAAGAGCATAGATATTTAGTATGACGACATGAACAATCTAACCTTAAGGAAACAAGAATTTTAAAAGAGAAGTTGTGATTGATAAACCTCAACCTCCTATAGTAGTATCTCAATTTTTAGTCACTAGAAGTGAATTTTTCTTAGTCGGAAAGAGTTAATAGAGATCAGAGTACCACCAGATAATTACGATGATCCAAAAGGATGTGGAGAGCTCCGAATTACTACATCAAAGCTATATGAGTCTACATGCATATGGAGGACCCATCCTATACATATTTTATTTTCTTATTAGATTATAATAGAATTTGAGCATGAGACATTTATATTATGCTTTAGACTAAGGTTTGTATAGGTCATCAAAAGGGGATATCATACATATATCTTAAAATGCACATGGTAGAAGATCTTGGAGTGGACACATATCTCCATCCTATAAATCTCTAACCTCATTTCTTTTAGAAGGGGGTATGTGACATTGCGAATATTTATTTTCATCTCATAGATCTCTACCTACCACTTTTTCATAAGAAAATATATGACATTCATCTAATAGTGGATATTTACCTTTATCCTATGGATCCTTACCTACTTCTCTTTTAGAAGAGGGCATGTATCAGTCATCAAAAGGATACTCATACTTATAAAATGAAAAATTGAGTGTCTGTAACCACCAAGAACCTTATGTAATGAAATGAAAATTTGAGTACTTGTAACCACCAAAAAATGAAAAATTGAATTCTTGTAACCACCTAGAACCTTATGTAAGATGTCTAAGTGAGAAGAGAGTCCTTAAAAGGCTCTATCCTATCTTCTTTCTATTTTCTTTTTCTTCCCACCATTTATCTCTTTCGTCTTCATCATAGTAGCATTATTTTCATTGTAACAACGACATCACTCCCAAAAGGAGCAACCAAATCAGTCATTGATTGTTGTGAATGTAGCACCCATCAACAATCACCATATTAAGCATCACCACTTCTATGGCACCATCTACGATGCCACCATTTCATCGTCCAAGGCCAAGAGCATTAGATTGTTTTATTTGTGTTAAGGGTTATTTATAAAAATATTTTTTCCTACTCTTAAAGCTTATGTCATATATTAATTTGAGGAATCCAATTAATCCAACCTCTTGTTGTATCTAGTTTAGGACTAGCTCTTGGCATACTTCATTTTCAATTATTCTGCTCATAGTGAGCCTTTTAACCTCACTTAATTACTTTTACATAATTATTTTACGCTTGCTTGTTTAGATTTATTAAATTATTGCTCAAACTAATTTATATTAACCAAGTCAATCATTGGAAAGATGAGTTAGTATCTTTATTGCTACCACTTGTCCTTCCTAAGCTCTATATCACTTCTCACCACACATTTTATTTTTGCTCATCACACATCATACCACTCATCCCTATGTCAAGTGGGCTACAGACAAATGCTTAGGACTTAGATGTCTTAGGATGCAAGTGAGGCTTCCTTTCACACCAGAAAAGCCTTATATAAGGCACGAGCTTGAGACGACTTTTTTGCATTCTGTCTCTATATCTTTTATTTCTCACTCGATGATTTCTTACTCGATAATTTCTGATTTACTATTTTCCAACTTATTGAAAAACCTAAGTGACATGTAATCTTGCTATCAATCGAATCCTAGAAGTAACACTCATGTTAAGCATTAAAAGATACTCGATGCATCTTTCTCGAGCTAAGCCTCAATGATTATTCTATGTATCTTTCTTGGGCTAAGAATTAAAAGTTTACAATATGCTCTTCTCGAGATAAGTATTAAAATTTGTCTGACGTATCCTTTCGTTAAGCATCAGAGGTTATCCATTGTGCTCTTATTGGATATAGTGAGAATTCTTGATCTCTTTTAATATCTCTCTTAATTTTTTGAATTGATGTCATTTAATTGATCCCTCCTAGAGATTCAAAATAACTTTAAATTTTTTATATTATAATTATATATAATTCAATAGACGATTAGGAATACTAAAGTACACAAAGAATTAATAATATATGCCTGGTGAAATGATGGATATACGAGATTCAAAATCTCATGCTAAAAGTTACCTGATATATTTATCTCAAGCAAGGCAATGAAGATTCTTCGATGCTCCTTTTTTATGCTAAGTATTAAAAGTTACATGATCCATCCTCTATAGGGCTAAGCATTAATGATTACTTGACATGATATCCTCAAGTTAACCATCCCATCGAAGGATACCTAATATCTTCTTCTTAGGCTAAATATTAAAAGTTGTTCAATGTACTATTCTCGAGTTAGAAATGATCCACAATATCTTACTCAGATTAAGCATCAAAAGTGATCCAATGCATCGTTCTCGGACTAATGTCAAATTTTATCGAATGCATACTCATTAGATTAAGCATCAAAAGTTAAACAATGTACCCTTCTCAAGTTAAGGATCAAAGTTATCCGATGTACCCTTCTTAGGCTAAATATTAAAAGTTGTTCAATGTACCATTCTCGAGTTAGAAATGATCCACAATATCTTACTCGGATTAAGCATCAAAAGTGATCCAATGCATCGTTCTCGGGCTAATGTCAAATTTTATCGGATGCATACTCATTAGATTAAGCATCAAAAGTTAAACAATGTATCCTCCTCAAGTTAAGGATCAAAGTTATCCGATGTACTCTTCTCATGATTGATACAAAAGAATCAATATACTTTCAAGTAGAGTTCGAAGGATCCCTTAATATCCTATTCATAAGCACCTAACACCTTTCAACTTGTGGCTAGGAACCATTTGAGTGAGTAAAAAAGCAACTACCAAATCAACTTCCAAATGAATAATATTAAAAATATTCATTTTCATTCGAATTTCAATTCAACACGTGATGATCACATTAGCAAAAACCGAACTATCATATATGTCATATTAGTAAAATTAAAATAAAAAATATTATTTAAATATTTTTATTACAAGGAACATATTCCTAACATCTTCAAGGTGAAAGAATACATGATTATCAACATCGAACACTTTTCCCGTTGCTATGACATCCAAAACTTTTCCAACACTAACTTTTATGTATTAAAAGTATTTTGAACTCGATCAATATCAAGAAAGAAAATCTAGCTCATTGCACATAACATAGAACAAAGTCGGATTGATCGACGCACTCGAAAGCAAGCCTGATATCACGACACAACGTGGTGACACAAACTGGCGACGACTGACACGCGTGCGAATTAGATGGAAGTTTCAGGGCTTCTGTGGCATTGGACCACGTGCTTGGCCCACAATAACCGGAGGCGTTCGTCGGCCACGTTACCGTAACCGTGGCAGCTCCACCATCGCCGACCCAATTGGAAGAATCGAGTCAAACCTAGCCGACGATTCTAGAACAATTTTATATGACTAAAATGCTCATTATCTTTATTCCATCGTCTTATAAGTTTGTTTTGCTCATAGCTGAGAGGATCAAGTAAAGCTCGAGGGTGTTTCTGGCAAGTCGAAGCTACTGGGTCTCTATAAAGATCGGTCTGCGACACGAGAGGCGTGTTCCAGTGGGGTGTGCTCGTTGGAAAGCGTTGGGACGAGGAGGGCCGAAGCTAGAAAACTCTTAACCCCAGATTTAGATCGAGACGCCTCTTTGGCAGACCGTTGATGGCGTCGTTCGCGGAAGCTCCGCCGGGCGATCCTAAGGCCGGGGAAAAGATCTTTAAGACCAAGTGCGCGCAGTGCCACACCGTCGACAAGGGCGCCGGCCACAAACAAGGTAGATCTGAATCTGGGGTTCTTTTTGGATTTTTTTTAACTTGGGTTTTGAGTTCATATGATCGCTGGCTGATCGTCTGTTAGTTTCTTTTGGTGGTTTAGTGACGGGTTCTTGTTGATCTAAGTTTTATTTCACATTAGGGCTTGGGATTTTTTATTTTTTTTTTCGCAAGGGGGTTACGCTGCTTTTATAAGGTCTTTTAGAAATCTTCGATGTCAAGTCTCAAAAACGATTTAGTGCTTGAACTGGACTGATCACGTCTTCTCTTATCTATATTGTTTTCTCTCTTTCATCTATGAAAGATCGCCAGTTGATTCTCTGTTTTTTCTTCAAGATCGTTTGATGCCAGATTCTTATAGATCTACGTTTGGTTTGTAAATAAGATCCAGGGTCAAGTGCTTGGGTACTTGATGTTGTCTTAGACTCTTTGGGTTTGTAAATAAGATATTCTCTTATTGTACTTACGTCTTCCGTTTTTGGTCTATGGACAATCGCTGGTTGATCTTTGATTCTTTAGATGGTTTGGTACCGGGCTTTCGTTGTTCAAAGTTTTATTCGTAAATGAGATCAATGGTTTGGATTTTTTGTGGGGGCTACGCTGCTTCGGTTCGGTCTATTGCAAATGTCGAAAATCAAGGGATAGTATGTTCTTGATCTTGATTTATTCTCTTTATACATGGATCTCTTGCTGAGGTTACTTGTGATTACATATTCTCATATTAATGCTGTTTTCCCCTATAGTCGATCTTTCTATTCCTTTGTCTGGAGGACCAATGCCTTTTTCCTGCACAGGACCTAATTTGAATGGCCTTTTTGGGAGACAATCTGGTACAACTCCAGGTTATTCTTACTCTACCGCTAACAAGAATATGGCTGTGATCTGGGAGGAGTCAACTTTGTACGATTACTTGCTTAACCCTAAGAAGGTATGGACTTTTGACCGTTGTTACCTAACATTTACATCTGACCAGCATCCTTCCTTCCTAATATGTGATCCAAAATGTAAACTTAAAAAGATTTTATTTCCATTTTTATAAGTGCAAAAGAACAATTCTTCTTTTTATGCTATTTGATGCTGTCAATCTTATATGAATATAATGATACACTTTTATTGTTTTTATGTGAAGATTACTCAGTATTTTTGCTGATCTCCTGTAGGCAATTGTCTGAAGGTCTCTTGCAACTTGTAAGGAATTAGAGATGTAAATTGGGGTGAAAAATGTTAATTATTTTTTAACTGTTATATTTTTGTCTTGGTTGAGTTCATTAATAAAAAATGTATTAGAAATTTATGAGTCTTGTTGGAGATCAATTCTATTACAACTTGGTGATGTCAAGAGAAGTGAGTGCATGGTTAAAATAGGTGGAGAAGTTCCAAGAAGTAATTGTTTATAGATGTTGGATCTATTAGTCACATAGAAAGAGAGATGCAAATGTAATTCATTAAGTTTGAGCTTAATTCTTTGAGCGAGAGGGGAAAGACTAGTGTGTGGTAACCATGTGCCATAAAAAAATGAGAATCTTAAGATCGTTGTGAAACCAATCATGTTTTTGTATTTGGATGGGGAACAACTAAATGATCAAAAAAGATAACATATACTACAAGGCTGCTAATGTGGAGATTCAATGTATGTGGTTTGTATAATGCAACTAAATATGTTTATGTCATCTGGATCCTGGTGACCTGGTTTGCAGAGTAACAAACTTATGGTAGTGTGTCTGTACATTTAAAAGGTGTTTTTGTGGATCAGATCCATTTTTTCCCCGGGTCGTGAAGAAGCAAATCTATTGTGACACCAAAGCTTATCTTTTTGGTAGTTATGAAATAACATGAAATAAATTTTATTGAAATGAGAATGTCAATGAGATGTGGGGTTGTTAGAAAAGGGATAATGACAATGTGCTTGTTAACAATTAGTGATTGTTGTAGTTGAGGATAAAAACAGATAAATTTGTTAGGGTGTTGGCAATATATCTGAACAATAATGGTGGTCATTAATGGGGTTAAAAGGAGAGACTCATTTGAGGTGTCATAGATTTGTCTGAAGGAGACTTTTTAAATGGATTGATTAGACAAAGTGAGTTAATCAGGATGAATAATATGCAGAGAGGCAGAGGAAGATCTCCAGCACCTGTAAAACTGTTAATATTCTTTCACTTGGATCTCGGTGGCTTGTTTTATATTTAAATGGCTACATCTTTGACTACAATACGAACTGGTCTTCTTGCACAGTGAGATGACAATATATCTCCAGGCACAATCTACTTTTCACCTCTATTGTTGTAAGTTGTCTGGATTTTTGTCGTGATGAACTCTTTATATTATCCTCCGACATTTTAACTGTCAGATGGCATTTGTTTATGGATGCTAGAACATGTGGACACATATTTAGCCTAATCTTCATTGTATTCTTGGATGATCCGAATCCACTAGTGGCCATATTGATGTTATGGCACCCATAATCAAATAGTTTTGAGCGATTTAAGTTAATACCTGTGCAGGAGGCTCATGTATATCTAGAGGTTCTTGATTTTGCAAAATGGAGCACCTAGTGAGATTGTTACACTAGTATTTAGACGGAATAATATATTTATTTATAATTTATACACTTACCACAATGATTATATAATTTTCCTAATGATTTTCTTGTTTATGCAGTATATTCCTGGTACCAAGATGGTTTTTCCTGGTCTGAAGAAGCCACAAGAGCGTGCAGATCTCATTGCTTATCTCAAGCAATCAACGGCTTAAGTAATTTATTTTCCTTTCATACTGGAAACAATTTTTTTCCACCAATAAGATAACATGTTGCCCTGCTTGTGAATAAGCAGTTGAGCTACGAAACATTCTTTAAAAATTCTTACTAGTATCCTTTATTTCATGGGCTCTTGCCTGAATTATGGTTGTTTTAGCTGTAGATGTAGACAGCCACTCTTATTTTGATACGAGTTAACTTAACATTGTCCCATAATTATCTATACTTTGGTTTTCTTGGTGGTGCAAATTTAGTGTCTTAAATCTGATGCTTCTGGTTTCTTACTTGGCACAAATATTGTAAAGCTACAACTTGGCTCCAGAGATGCTCTTCATGATGTTGGATCTGCTCTCTCTCTCTCT